GAGATTCAACTATCGATCGGACCCTCCTCTCCAGTACCTTGGAGTAGACCTTTCCAGGGAGGCTGAGGAGTGTGATCCCCCTATAGTTGGAACACACCCTCAGGTCACCCTTCTTAAAGATGGGGACCACCACCCCGGTCTGCCACTCCCTAGGAACTGCCCCCGATGACCACGCAATGTTGTAGAGACGTGTCAACCATGACAGCCCTACAACATCCATAGCCTTGAGATACCCAGGACGAACCTCATCCGCCCCCGGGGCTCCGCCGCTGTGTAGTTGTTTGACTACCTCAGCAACTTCTGCCCCCGAGATCGGACAGTCCATCCCCAGGCCTCCCAGCTCTGGTTCCTCCTCGGAATGCGCATTGGTGGGATTGAGGAGCTCCTCAAAGTATTCCTTCCACCGTCCGACTATAGCCTCAGTTGATGTCAGCAGCTCCCCATCCCCACTGTAAACAGTGTGAGCGAGTTGCTGCCTTCCTCTCCTGAGGCGCCGGACAGTTTGCCAGAACCTCTTTGGAGCCGATCGATAGTCTTTCTCCATGGCCTCACCAAACTCCTCCCACGCCCGAGATTTTGCCTCGGCAACTGCCACTGCTGCACCCCGCTTGGCTATCCGGTACCTGTCTGCTGCCTCCGGAGACCCACAGACCAGCCACGCCCTGTAGGCCTCCTTCTTCAGCCTGACGGCTCCCCGAACCTCTGGTGTCCACCAGCGGGTACGGGGGTTGCCACCACGACTGGCACTGGCCACCTTACGACCACAGCTAGCAACAGCCGCCTCGACAATCGCAGAGTGGAACAAGGCCCACTCGGACTCAATGTCCCCCACTGCTCTCGGGACGTGGTCAAAGCTCTGCCGGAGGTGGGAGTTGAAGACCGTCTTGACAGGTTCTTCTGCCAGGCGTTCCCAGCAGACCCTCACTATGCGTTTGGGTCTGCCAGGTCTACGCGGCATGTTCCCTTGCCATCTGATCCAACTCACCACCAGGTGGTGATCAGTTGACAGCTCCGCCCCTCTCTTCACTCGGGTGTCCAAAACATACGGCCGCAGGTCAGATGATACGACTACAAAATCTATCATCGACCTGTGACCTAGGCTGCCCTGGTACCAAGTGTACCGGTGGGCATCCTTATGTTCGAACATGGTGTTCGTTATGGCCAAACTGCGGCTTGCACAGAAGTCCAATAACAAAACACCGCTCGAGTTCAGATCAGGTGGGCCGTTCCTCCCAATCACACCCCTCCAGGTCAAGCTGTCATTGCCCACGTGAGCATTGAAGTCCCCCAGCAGGACAATGGAGTCCCCTGATGGAGCACTATCTAGCACTCGTCCCAGGGTCTCCAAAAGGGGTGGGTACTCTGAACTGATATTTGGCCCATAAGCACAAACAACAGTCAGGACCCGTTCCCCGACCCGAAGGCGCAAGGAAGCTACCCTCTTGTCCCCCGGGGTAAACCCCAACACACAGGCAGAGAGTCTCGGGGCTAACAAAAAGCCAACCCCAGCCCTCCGCCTCTCACCCGGAGCAACTCCAGCAAAGTAGAGTGTCCAACCCCTCTCCAGGTCTCGGGTTCCAGAGCCAATGCAATGTGTCGAGGTGAGTCCGACTATATCTAGCCGGTACCGCTCAACCTCTGCCACAAGCTCCGGCTCCTTCCCCGCCAGCGAGGTGACGTTCCATGTCCCAAAAACTAGTTTTCTTGTCCGGGGATTGGACCGCCAAGGCTCCCGCCTTGGTCTGCCACCCGATTCACATTGCACCGGACCCTTCATGTTCCTCCTGCGGGTGGTGGGTCCACAGTTGGACGAGCCCATGTATCCGGTTCGGGCTGGGCCCGGCCGGGCCCCATGGGCGAAAGCCCGGCCACCAGGCGCTCGCTCACGGGCCCCAACCCCAGGCCTGGCTCCAGGGTGGGACCCCGGTAACCCTCCGGGCCGGGTACTCCGACTCTTTGTTTTAACCGCCATGAAAGATCCTTCGAACCGTTCTTTGTCTCACCCTTCACCTAAGACCAATTTGTCATGGGAGACCCTACCCCAGACAACATAGCTCCTAGGATCATTAGGGCACTCAAACTCCTCCACCACGATAAGGTGACGGTTCAAGGAGGAGTATATACACATATATACATATATATATATATATATATATATATATATATATATATATATATATATATATATATATATATATATATATATATATATATGTATGTATATATGTGTATATATATATATATATGCATGTATATATATGTATATGTATATATGTGTATATATATGTATATATGTATGTATATATGTATATATATACATATACCGGTATATACACATATGTGTGTATATATATATGTATATATATACTGCATGTTCCTCTTTAGAGAATGAACTGTTGTTAAATAAATAAAAACAAATAACTAAAAACAATACATAAACGAAATAAAACCGGATTTATGATGAAAAATGTTTTATTGAAGAGGCGTTCTTTGTGTTTGTCGTAGTTGTTCCATTGTTTAGGTCGTCTTTTAAAACCTCTGCAGACTTTGACTAAAATGTCACGCCATTGACTCCCGAAGGCTTTTACGGAGCGTTTCAAGGTGAGTGGAAGCCACAACCACTAGTCCTTTCACTGACAAATCAGTGCGGCCAAACCCTTTCCTGGCTGGGTGAGTTTAAAGGAGCCGGTGGCTCCAACCGCAGAGTTAATTAGATTTGTTTGTTTAGGGAAATTTTACTTTCAGGAACCCGGGTACGTCCTTTCAGAAGATGCCGGTGAAAGGGCCGGATTGTTAAGGAGGGGAAGTTAACATCAAAGTTTGATTTGAGTTTATGGATCCACTCAAATCAAAAAGGGACACAGTGGCATCAGAAAACAGCTTCAAGTGTGTTTATTTAAATGGCAATGATGTCACATGTTATTAATCCTAATCCTAATTTTAAACAAAACAAGCAGAAAATGGCCATTTACGCTCTCGTATTTCTTTACAAAGTAAAATCAGCTAACCGAGAATAAAAGCAAGATAGATCCACAGCAGACTGAGGCATATCTTGGGCTTATTTAATTTTTCTGTTGCTGTTTTACTTCATTTGGGTGAGATACATCTAATCTAAACATAGACAAATTATGAGCTGCAGAAAAATAAACAGAAGAGGAAACAAACATATACTAAACAAACAAGCATCCAGTGAAACAGCTTTATCTTTTCATAATGAAAACAAAACACAGTTTCTGATGTCAATTTGATGCAAATGCAGCTTTGCTAAACTTGTGTGTTATTTGCATGACTTGTCCCTGAATCTCTGCAATGTTCTCATCAGACTTACTAAGTTAGAATAGGTAAATAAGCGCCGCAGCATTCAATCACTGTGGACTTGGCATGCTTGTTTAGAGCCGGGCAGCATCGAGTCACCTCTGCCCCACCGACCCAGACTGAAAAGCCCTTTTTCTGATCGCTGCTTCCATCTTGTGTTCACTCAACAGACTGCAAAAAGGAGGAGACTGGCAGAACACTTGCTCTTCACTTGACCTTACATTTATGTGCATCATTTGCAAAGAGCCACAATTGGTTTAAGCAGCCGTTCAGGAAATTTGAATTCTTGTGCTTTATTTGCTTTGTAATAAATTAGGTACATCCAGTCTGGTAGGTGAGATTACAAATGATAGTCTGTTTATATACAGCAACAACAATAATGTTTATTTATCCATCCATCCGTTTTCATCCGCTTATCCGGAGTCGGGTCACAGGGGCAGTAGCCTAAGGCGAGAGGCCCAGACTTCCCTCACCCCAGCCACTTGGGCCAGCTCCTCCGGGGGAATCCCAAGGCGTTCCCTGGCCAGGTGAGAGACGTAGTCCCTCCAACGTGTCCTGGGTCTACTTTTAGGTCTCCTCCTGGTTGGACGTGCCTGGAATACCTCACCAGAGAGGCGTCCAGGAGGCATCCTGACCAGATGCCCGAGCCACCTCAACTGGCTCCTCTCGATGTGGAGGAGCAGCTGGTCTACTCCGAGCCCCTCCCGGATGACCGAGCTTCTCACCCTATCTCTAAGGGAGAGCCCAGCCACTCTTCGGAGAAAACTCATTTCGGCCGCTTGTATCCGTGATCTCGTTCTTTCAGTCACTACCCAAAGCCCATGACCATAGGTGAGGGTAGGAACGTAGATGGAGAGCTTTGCCTTCTGACTCAGCTCTCTCTTCACCACGACAGACCTGTACAACGCCCGCATCACTGCAGATGCAGCACCAATCCACCTATCGATCTCACGCTCCAGTTTTCCCTCACTCGTGAACAAGACCCCGAGATACTTTAACTCCTCCACTTGGGGCAGGACCTCATCCCTGACCCGGAGAAGGCATTCTACCCTTTTCCGAATCAAGACCATGGTCTCAGATTTAGAGTAGCTGATTCTCATCCCAGCTGCTTCACACTCGGGTGCGAACCGCTCCAGCGAAAGCTGAAGATCACGTTCTGATGAAGCCAACAGGACCACATCACCTAGGACCTGTTTGCCATGGGTGACCCTACCAGAGGCAGAAAGCGTCAGACAACTTAGCTCCTAGGATCATTGAGACACTCAAACCCCTCCACCACGGTAAGGTGGCAGCCCAGGGAGCTCATTTAAATACAGTTAACCCTTTAATTATTCAGAAATGCAAATGAATAAGTAGGTCTATATTTAGCCTTCAATAATAACAGCACGGCAATAAATTCCATTTCTTTTTTGCTTTTTAAAGATGAGTTTGGTACACAAAAGCTCGTAAAATCTATAATTATAAAATAAATATGTGACATTATTTATTTTGATTCTTGTTACAGAATTTTAATATATAATGTTTTTAAATGCTAAGAGTCCAAACAACACCCGTCAGCAGCTCTAGACCCTCAGAAAGTTGCAGAAATCCAGCAGGCACACACCTTAAAATCACAAATAGGATAACTGATAGCTGTTTAGCCAATCCCAGCTCTCATAGGCGGGACTTCCGGTGACATTGACAAATCAGCAGTGGCGAGACGAGAAAAACTAAATATGACAGCAAAACAACACCACCGAGGGGGAGTGAACTTATAGACAGCCGTCATTTTATTTGAAGAAACGTTACAACAGTTCAGTCTAATTGTGTACAGTTTCAGAACAGCCGAGAGGTAAAAAACGGTGTTTTGTATCTGATTTGTACTTTTTTGTAAATCATGCGCGCGGTGTTAACTGTCCAAACTTTCTGACACGGGCACGGTTCGATGGATAGAGTACGAACGTGCTAGCAGGCTAAGCTAGTTAGCGGTTAGCTACGGTTCTCTGATCGAAACAAACGCCATTAAAACAGTTTCGGTCGTTTTTTAGACGTAACGCTTGGTTTCTAAGTTTAATTTGAGTTCTTAAAAGAGTGCCACCACCAATCCAGGTTCTCGACTTTCATTTTAACTTTGGATTTTCTACACCCATCCGTGATGGCCACCAGCTTTTAGGCAAACCACGGTCCAATCAGGGTCCGTTTCAAACGGGGTGTTGTTAACTCGGTCGTGGAGCTGTTCAGGGATCCTGCAGAAGATAACGCGACTGCAGCGGTGTTGCTACAGTGCAATGTTCGCGCACAATTTCAGTGCTGTGGTTTAGGTAACAGCTGAAGCGCTGCAAAAGCTCAAAATATCTGCAGACCTTCACTTCCCGTCGGAGACGATCGTTATTACAAATGATCGACTCGTGTTTACAGCGAAAACGCGGGTTTAAAGTTGAGCTAAAGGCGTGTTGGGTCGTCCCCTGGAAAGCTAACTACCCACAGCAATAAGTAATAAGTGGTTAGTTAAATGTAAACAACAGAAAGATCGAAGGAAATGTTGACAGCCATCACTGCAGAGCACGATCCCACGATTATGTATAAACAGTAAAATAATAATAACGGGACAAAAAGGCACTAGCACAGATACTCTTATTAGCTGCTATTTACTGCTGTGGGTTAGAGAAAGTGTTATTTTCTGATTTTTGATTAACGTATTTTATTGTAAATAATAAAATGTCAGTCACGTTGAATTTCTATAAACTAAAAAGGCCAAATAAAGACGTTTCCTTGTTTTACCACATTCTCCACTAATACTATTTAGACTTTGTTATAATAATATTTTGATTTCATGGAACGCAAATAGAACAAAATTGGTTAAATTATTTAAATACAAGAGAAAAATATCAATAAAATGCCGTTTTTTCCCTACAAGGAGAGTTGTTTGTAATTAGTGAAGTTAGAACTTCGCTGAGATTTTATTGAATAAATAATTAAAACTGCAACACCATTTTAATTTAGATGATTTAAGTTGAGTCAACCAGGTTGCTCTGTGTGATTTTATATAACCGAAGCAGAACAAACCTTTTGTTTTCCGTCAAATGTATTTCAGTGGATGGCAGAGGAGAAAAAGTAAACAACATTCAAGTAAACAAATGTTTTTGCTTGTAAATAAACATTTAGCCGCTTTTTTGTGTGTGTTTTTTTTAGCCGACTGGTGTCCTCCCAGCTCTTCAGTAGATGTCCACGCCGTCAGACACTCCAGGTGGTATGTCCCATCCTGGCCCTTCACCTGGGGCGGGTCTGTCCCCGGGGCCCATCTTGGGCCCCAGTCCTGGACCAGATCCCTCGCCAAGTTCTGTCCACAGCATGATGGGGCCCAGTCCTGGGCCTGGAACACCCAACGCACCTCATGGCATGCATACCCAAGGACAAAGCGATTACTCTCAGGACAGCATGTATCCTATGCACAAGGTAACGTGAGATCAGGTGTAAACAGTTACCAGTGTTTTTGTAAAGGAACATAAATGACATAGTTTGTTGCTATAGGTCTGTTTTATCTGGGGGGACTTAACATTTTGGGTATTTTGAATCCCCAGCAGAACGTCTCTTTGTGACACAATGAGCCGTGGTTGTTTGTCTTTTTCCAGTCCATGGAGGGAACGATGAATGACAAGACGATGGCAGACACGATGCACTTTGGTCACATGAAAGGAGTGGGGATGAGGTCTCTCCACAGTGGCATGGGGCCTCCTCAAAGTCCGATGGACCAGCACAGTCAAGGTACCGTCTCCTCCGATGATAGTTGGTGCCAACGATGGTAAAGGACGCTTGTCTGAACCTTCATTTTGTTGTTTCTAATTCGTCGTGCTGTTACTCTGAAGTCATACAAACGCGCGTCTTCTGTATTCATCTAGAAAAGAACTGAAGTCACGCCTGGTGTTTCAGAAATGAAAATGTGAATTCTTCCTCAAATTAACAGATTTTTATCTCGAACAAAAATGTTTTGGTGACATTTTCTGTGGAGGTGAACCACAAATCAGCACCAGTATCGGTATTTTAAAACCTGGGTGCAATAAGTAAGACTGGGCCAGTGTTTATTTCCATCCTGTTGCTGAGTGCACAAGTGTTTCATCTAGATTTTATCACTAAGTAGCGCTCGTCCGCCCTGACACCAGTATTAATATCGAAAATCAACATCGGCCCAACTTTTGTCATCAGTGCATCTCTAACTTTAACGTTTGTTCGGCTTCATAAACCCTTTATTCGTGGAGAGTGTGACACTTGGGCTACGTTCACACTGCAGGCCTTGATGCTCAGTTCCGGTTTTTTGAGTACATCAGATTATTTTGTGTGGCTGTTCACAATGTGACTCAAATGCGACATCAGACACTCTCCAGTGTGAACGCTCCGCGGCCACAAAGCCGAGAAGTCACAGTCAGCTGAAACCAGGAGCGGCAGAGTTGTGCAGCACCCTGCTGGAGTTGTGATGTGAACGTTTTCACCGACAGTTTGTCCGCAGGATGAGGATCACGCCTGTTCGTTCTCCTGTTTTGGGCTGGAAACTGTTTAAAAAACTGTAAACCAGTTTACCCTTTTCCCCCGCCGTCTTCCTAGGGATGGGTACCTTTGACATTTGAATCGATCCGGTCCTAATTCCCGGTACCTACGAATCGATACCGGTACTTAACGGTACCAATTTTCGATACTTTTGAGTGTTTATTATTTTAATTCTCTTTTACAATTAAATATATATTTTTCTCAATATATAACAATATTTGATAAATATCACGATAAATAACATTCAACTGTTTGTATTTTAACATCGTCCTTGTAGTTTTATAAGCTGATAATTAAACTGAAGCAAACATCTTTACTGTGAACTAAATTTACTGTGTATCTTCATTCCTTTTGCCGTCTTTTTTTCATTTGATTTTTCCTACTGGGAAGTTAGAATTTCCGAGGAGAAAGCGAACGCACCATTAGCTGATAACAACGGTGGCAATGGAAGCTAACATACCAAGCTAACGTTATCTTAAACCGTTTATTTAGCTGCTGGAGCAGATTAAAACGATGATGCCTCACACTTAGATCGTTGTCGCTGGTTTCATCTTCACCCAATCACCCGTCGCATTTAGTAAAGTGAAGCCAAACTTTAGAGCACGTTCATGTTCTTCTAGTCGGAAATTCGGAGTTCCGAGGAGAAAGCGAACGCACCATTAGCGGAACGGAAGCTAACATATCAAGCTAACGTTATCTTAAACATTTTATTTACCTACCGGAGCAGATTAAGATGAGGATGTCTCACTTAGATCGTTGTCGCTGGTTTCATCATCACCCAGTTACCCATCACATTTAGTGAAGTGGACCCAAGCGTTAGCGTGCGTTCTTTCTACCATGCTGCTCTGTTTACAACTGGCTCGCAGCGACCGACGACATAACGCTCTTGCGCATGCGCAGCTGTCTAGGCAAGTTCTCGTTATGAAGGACGGGTACCGAAACGAGGCACCGTTTCAAATGACGTGAATCGGTGCTCAGTCGGTACTGTGGAATTCGGTCGGTACCTTAAAAAGTACCGAATTCGGTACCCATTCCTACGTCTTCCTGAATCAGTCTTTTCTGAATTCACCTAAAATGTTCCGGTGTTGATTCATTTACAGAGCCCAGCCCCCCCCCCCCGGAGACGGAGACCGCTCCAGCAGCACCTCCAGCTCCCGTTCTCGGGCTCTCCTGTGTTTAATTCTTAAACCTAAAACAGGAGACAGACTCCAGAACCCTCCTGTCAGTGCTTCTCCTCAGGAACGTCCACACGACGCTCACCTCGGCTGAGACGGATGACCGTTCAGACTTTAGTCGCTTTCAAAAACATCAGATTTGTGTCGGAATCAGTACCACATATCCAAGTGACACGGATCGCATTTGGAAAAATCGGATCTGTGCGTTCAGACTGTCACGAAAAAACCAGATGTGGGGGAAAAAAAGCGGGTTTGATGAGCTTTTGTCTGCAGTGTGAACGTAGCCTAAGTGAGTGAGCTGGTGTTTCTGGGCAGGAGTGTAAACGTTAAACATTAAACATGCATCCTTCTGGGTTTAGGATACATGTCTCCACATCCTTCCCCGATGGGAATCCACGAGCACGCTTCTAGTCCCATGTCAGGAAGCGGAGGTGGACCCACACCACCCCACATGCCTCCCTCCCAGTCTGCACCCATGATGTCCTTGGATCCTCAGGCCGGCATGCCCAGCATGTCTGCTATGGGACAACAAGGACGAGGACCTTCTGCCTTCAGTCCCGTGCAGCTTCAGCAGCTCAGAGCTCAGATTCTCGCCTACAAGATTCTGGCCCGGGGACAACCGCTGCCAGATAACCTCCAGCTGGCTGTTCAAGGCAAAAGGAGCCTACCCACAATGCAACAGCAACAGCCGCAGCAGCAGCAGCAGCAGCAGCAGCAGGCTCCTGGTGGCAGCCTGTACAGACCTCCAGGTAGTCAGCCCTCCTCACTTTACCACCTAAATCTGAAATCTAGCACTTTTTGATTTGCGCTAAATGACCATTTGGTGTAATTTTGGTCAGAAAACTATGATGGCGGCTCAGACTGGACCAAACAGACAGCCATTGTGTTGTTATGAAACTGCTGCGTAGCTTTATTCAATTCAATTCAAAGCTTTATTTATAAAGCGCCGTCCCTGTCGGGGAGGCCAAGGCGCTGTACGCAGTACATAAGAACTGTAAGTCACAATGAATGAATGCATAATAAAAGGGGGTCAAATAGTGCAAAGAGGGTCAAACATTCAAGTAGAAACAGTAAAAACAGGGAAACGAAATCAACATAGAAGAGGGCCGACTAGGGCTGCTCGATTATGGCAAAAATAATAATCACGATTATTTAGGACGATTTTTCAATTTATGTTGATTTTATTTGTTTTTATTCAGTCATAAAATTTCTCAGGGCGCAATCAGGACAAAAATAAGAAACAAATGATCACTAAAATAACTCCTGAATATAAAAAGACCAATATACTTATAGCTCATAGTTTATGACCTAAGGGCTATAGACCTTGGTTTAACTCATTTAGGTCTAACCAGTACAGACCCAAATACCATTATCTTGCAAATACTGACAGCAAGAATTATACAGTGGCATTCATAACAAATAAACACAAATAAATTGATGTTCACAAAATGTTGCATAACATGTATTTAGTCATGTCAAGGTGCTGTAGGAGAGTGCACTAGCACCGTGTCCTCAGAGAGATTAGTTATTAATTATCAGCGTGAGGAACGTATTTCTACCTTATTTATAAACTATTTATTTACAAGTCATCCATCAGTTAATGTAATAATTGTCCCAACCACAGCTGCACCCCCCCAACCCAGTCTCTCAGCAATCGGGGCAAGCTGCACGTGCGTTTAGCGCGCCGCACGCTCACATTTAGCTGTTTTTAGCTGCTCAGGAGTCCGCAGGTGCGGTGTGTGTCACTCACTCTGGTTAATCTAACAAGGAGCCGACTCCGAGAGCTTTTTCTTTAGTGACTGACACATCACTACATCATTCCCTTTCCTAATGTCCTGAAGAACGGTCCGGAGCGCAGGCGGAGTGTTTAGCTAACCTGCAGGAAATGTCGACGACAGTTATCCAGAAAGTAGCTAAGGGTTACCAGAGATGTTTCTGAGGTGTTCGCTAGGTACTTTTAAGTTAAAAAGTCAAGAAGGTGGTCTGAAAAGCTGCTAGAAATAGCGTCAAAGTCACTGTTGGCAACACTGTGGGAGGAGCGCTTCATTTGCAACTCAGGGCATCGCAAGCGGGAGGAGCAAATAATCGGCTTGTTTTGTTTTTTATAATCGTTCAAAACTCAGATCGTAATCGTGATTAAAATTCGATTAATTGAGCAGCCCTAGGGCCGACCTCAAACACGTTCAGGGAACGCCAAGCAGAAGAGGTGGGTTTTCAGGCCATCGCAGAGAGGGGGACAGCCTAACTGAGGGTGGCAGCTGGTTCCAGAGTGACGGGGCTAGGACTGAGAAAGCCCGGTTCCCACGAGTCCGACACCTAGAACGAGGGACAGCGAGCAGGCCGTGGTCAGAGGAGCGTGTGACGGGGAATGTCTGTTCAGGAGCGTGGCTAGATTAGGGGGGGGGGGGCACCACCCTGGAAGAAACTGAAAACAAAGACGAGGTGTTTGAAGCGAGAACGATAGCAGACCGGAAGCCAGCACAGGGAGGCCAGAACCGGACTGATGCGGTCCCGTTTCCTGGTCCAGATTTCTAAGGCAAAGTGAGACGTGTTGTTTTCTAAAACACGTTTAATTACATGGATATAAAAGAATGTTTACAGATCAGAGAAAAGCCGTTAAACCACCTCTGACTGCTTATTTCATTGACAGGCATGCCAATGGCACCTTTGGGTGGTCCTCAGTCCAGCCCCCTTCCAGCACCACCCATGCAAGGCCTCAGTCAGAGTAGCGGACCCAAACCGTGGAGCGACGGTAAGACCGCTGGGATTCCTTCACTGTTTATAGAAGCATCAAAGTTTTCAGGTGATTTTCATCTCTCGGGGCTCGGCGACGTGGCGCCGCAGGCTTTATAGGTCCAGGAGGAAAGCAACGAGGAGGTTTAAGCTAAGATCATTTAGGCGCGTTAGGTTTGTTCCTGACTCATTCGCTGCCAGCGTTTCCTGATCGGTGAAGCCCGTCGCTGCCAGCGTTTCCTGATCGGTGAAGCCCGTCGCTGCCAGCGTTTTTCACCGTTTTTACTGTTTTTTTTTTTAGAGTGACAGAACGTTGAGCGCTAGGATGACGTTGACGCCAAAACTACCAAAACAAAGCGGAGGCTCACCTCTTACATCAGGAAGAATCCGCGCGTTTCGAGCGATATCCGTTCTTTCATAATCGGCAGAGGCTTTTCCGGTTCGAGCCTCACTTTTTTTTACAGCAGCGGTCCAAAACGATCTCCTAACACATGGATGTTCTGCTTCCTGATCACGTGACGTGTGACGTGTGCGGATGAAGATCGGCTTTAGAGCTGAGATGTTTGTTCTCACGGTGCGGGGGCTCGTCCGACGCCCTCACAGTAAAAACATGCATTTGCAGTGAATGAGTGAATAAACGAGTTCCTCTTCCAGAACAAACCCCTGGTTCTGCTTATAAAGGTCGTTTATCAGCTAAAGAGCTTCCTCCTCACAGGTCAGGGTGGTGACGGCCAAGCCCCTGCACAGAAGCACCTGACGCCTGTTCCTAGTGGCCGCCCATCTCCGGCGCCGCCTCAGACCCCGGCTGTGCCTACAGGCCCCATGCTGGGCAGCGCAGCAGCAACCCACCCTCCAGGCCAGCAGGTGTCCCCCATGCTCCAGGTGCCGCAGAAGCAGAACCGCATCACGCCAATCCAGAAGCCTCAGGGTTTGGATCCGGTGGGAATTTTACAGGAGAGAGAGTTCAGGTGTTTATAAAAGACAGACGGTATCTGATGAAGCTCTGATGTTGGGATGTAACCGAGTGTCCTGGGGTGTTTCTCAGACTGCAGGCTCGGATCGCGCATCGCATCCAGGAGCTGGAAAGTCTTCCGGGATCGTTGCCTCCTGACTTACGAACCAAAGCTACGGTGGAGCTCAAAGCTCTCCGTCTGCTCAACTTCCAGCGGCAGGTAAAAGAGCTGCGATGTTTCCCGTTGAACCCAGTTAACTCGGTTATACTGGTTACCTCTGACCAGCAGGGCTCAGATTTCTGACTAAATCATTCATCTAACTGCAGTAATAGCTGGACTCTAACCCACACCGTGTTAAGGTCACACAGGCCTTTCATTTAAGAAGCAGTAAGTTTATTTTTACTGATCAAGATTTCATGATGCAGATTTGACACCTCGACTGTTTCCTGGAAGTGGCCCTGGTACCTGAACGCCTCCCAGCGAGTTGTTGGGTTTTAGGCTTTGCTCTCCGCTGTAACCTGTAGTTTTACGGTTTAGAAATGCTTTTCTCGATCCTGCCTGCAGCTGAGGCAGGACGTGGTGGCGTGTATGAGACGGGACACGACCCTGGAGACGGCCCTCAACTCCAAGGCTTACCGGCGCAGCAAGAGGCAAACTCTGAGGGAGGCTCGCATGACGGAGAAGCTGGAGAAGCAGCAGAAGCTGGAGCAGGAGAAGAAGCGCCGACAGAAACATCAGGTGCTGCAGCAGAAGTTCCAGGACCTGAAACCGATCCAGCTAGGGTTGTCACGGTGTGAAGATTTAACCTCACGGTTATTGTGACCAAAATTATCACGTTTTTCGGTATTATCGCGGTATTTTTTAAAACGAGTTACATTTTCATACAACTAAATAAATCCTGTATATCAGGAAAATATTGTCCTCAGTTTGTGTCTAAATTTAGCCTAAAATGTGTTATTTTGTAATTATGTTGTTTATTTGTTTACATTTTTCCCCTTTAGTCTTTAAAATACCAATATTTGCCCATAACTTCTTATTTTTTGTCTGTTTGATGTCATCATTTAAAAGTATTACATCAGATGATACTCAGTACTCAAGTAGTCTTCTAATCAGATACTTTTTTACCCTTACTTGAGTAATAAACCCTATATCAGGAAAATATTGTCCTCGGTTTGTGTCCTTCCAGTGAGCTTCGCAGATGTGGGAAAATGTCATCGGGCAGTAATCATTGTTAAATTCATAATTATTCTCGGAGAGAGACCAACTCTTATCGGCCCCTGGGAGCCCCGTAATGCATAGCGTCATTTCAACATGGCGGTGTCCGCGACACGGTTTATATGCAGGTAGCGGCGCTGCGGCTGCTTTATATAGCGACTCGTTGCGTTCTCCCTCAACCCAAATCCTCGGATCACGCATTTTAGCTAAAACGCTAACGTTAGCTTGCCTTGCGTTGACTGTAGAGTTGTGGGTGATGGTCACGCAGATGTGTCATGAGATTTGAAGCGTTGCTGCCTTTCACAGACACTTTTTCTGCACGTGCTGCAAACAGGATAGCCGTCTTCTATCAGCTGTCCCTCGGCATTCTTCAAATATCCAAAAGATGCCCGTACTTCCCACTTTGTCTCCTCTGAGGGATAATAAATGTCCTGAGCGCTGCCGTCTCCTCCTTTGGCCATTATTTCAGCTTTAGCTTCAAGAAAGTTTGGTTGTAAACAACAAAGTGCGCATGTGCCGCCGGCAACTTCAGCAGATGATACGGTGGCTGGTAAGGGTCACCGCGCCTACACCGCAGCCACGGTAACCCACCGAGATACTATAGTTTTTAAAACAAGACGGTTCTTATTATTGTCAACTTTTTTACCGGGGTTTACCGCTACACCGGTTACCGTGACAACCCTAGATCCAGCTGATCAGCCTGATAAAGCCACTAAACCATCATGCTTTCTGGTGTGCGTTACAGGAGTATCTTAACAGTATCCTTCAGCATGCCAAGGACTTTAAGGATTACCACCGTTCTGTGTCTGGAAAAGTCCAGAAACTCACCAGAGCTATCGCCAACTGGCACACGAACACGGAGCGGGAGCAGAAGAAGGAGACGGAGAGAATCGAGAAGGAGAGGATGAGGAGGCTCATGGTAAGAACCTGAACCCGGTGGTTCCTGGAATTCTGCGTTTCCCTCCTTTCACTTCCCGTCTACTGGAGATGGAGCCGTGACTCCTGAGCGGTGGTCCAGTTAATCTTTCGCCGTCTCTCTCCTCCAGGCGGAAGACGAGGAAGGCTACAGGAAACTCATCGACCAGAAGAAAGACAAGCGTCTGGCTTATTTACTGCAGCAGACGGATGAATACGTGGCCAACCTCACCTCTCTGGTGTACGAGCACAAAGCTGCTCAGGCTGCCAAGGAGAAGAAGAGGAGGAAGAAGAGGAAGAAGGTAGGAAGTTTTGTTTTTAATGGAAAAGTCCTCCACAGTTTCTGCCTGGGCAGAAAACCCGGTACTCGTATCTGAACCTTGGGCCTGGTCCACATGGCAGGACCGTCCTGGATTGAAGGAGTTACCTCTTCATGCCTGAGGTCATGAACTCTGGTCACTTTAGACTAGCAGTAATTACGCTTTGTATTATTCCTAATCCCACAGCATTTGCTTAATTTGACGCCTTTCAGATTATTGTGCAGTAAAACCTTTAAGGAGCCGTTATCGCTCGTCTACATGTGGGTGCCATGAGCCGCCCGGCAGGAGTGAGAAAGTCACGCTGATGATGTTTGTTCTGTGTCTAGAAGGTGGACGGAGACTGTGAAGGCACCAGCGCCATTGGGCCAGACGGAGAGGTTGGTCCATCTTCAGATGTTTCCTTATTGTTGTTTTGTGTTTTCCGTCTTTAGACGCGTATTTCTGTAGAAATGTTTGAAACAAACACGTCGTCGGCAGCGCAGACGAGCTAGCGGCTAGTCTCAGGGCGGCCGTTGAGTTTTTATAGTAAATAAATCAATTAGTGGAGATTCAAAAGACAGAAAACACGTAAAAAAAAAAAACAACTTTTCACATAATAATTCATGTTTTGTAGGAAAATAATTAGCATTTGGTTGAACTGTCTGGACCACCGTAGTTTTCAGGTGGCAGAAACCTTTGTGAGGAATCAGTCTGTTCAGAGTGGATCTTTGTTTCTCCAAACTGAGGCCATTGAACAGCTGTGCTACAGATTTATAACCCAGAGAAGGGTTAGCGTTCCACCAGCCGGTGGAAGACTCAGCAGCTGAAGAGGCTTCCTCCTGGAGTCAGCAGAGACCAAACCCGGCTAAGAGAGGAAGGTTTGGGAAACTGTGTTCCCTCGCCCAGAAACGGATCACCGGGGCCTGTCTGGAGTTGGGGCACGTTAGCGAGCGCCTGGTGGCCGAGCTTTTTTCCCTGGAGCCCGGATTTCGTAGCCGTAGCGCAGCGCCACGGCTGAGGCTAAGTGGTGCAACACTGGGTGGCTGACTGCAGCTGTGGTGGCAACCTCTGAACCCGCTGGTGGACACCGGTGGTTAGGGATGGCATCGAGCATCTGGAGGGGAAAGCAGTGCACCACCAACGCTGTTTACAGTGGGAAGGTCTGCTTTTGACCTCGACTTGCGACATTGTGGAATGAGTTCTTCGAAGTCCTCCTCAATCCCACAGGCACGTCTTCCAGGGAGGAAGTGGATTCTGGGGACTTTGGGTCGGGTCCTCCCATCTCTGGGGCTGAGGTCACTGAGGTGGTCGCAAAGCTGCTCGGTGGCAAGGCTCTGCGATGGATGAGATCCGTTCAGAGTTCCTTAAGCCTTTAGATGTTGTGGGGCAGTGTTGGTTTATGCAGCTCTGGAATATCGCGTGGACATCAGGGGCAGTCCCACTGGACTGGTAGACCGGGGTGGTGGTCCCCCTATTTAAAAAGGGGGACCACAGGATGTGTCCCAACTACAGGGGGATCACGCTCCTGAGCCTTCCTGGTAAGGTCTATTCAGGGGTTCTGGAGAGGAGGGTCCGTCGGATAGTTGAACCTCAGATTCAGGAGGAGCAATGCGGTTTTGGTCCTGGCCGTGGAACACCGGACCAGCTCTATACTGTTAGGGTTCCTGGAGGGTGTGTGGGAATTTGCCCAACCAATCTAAATGGTAAAGGACCTGTATTTGATATAGCGACTTCTAGAGTCCTCCAACCCCCCAAGGCGCTTTACAACACAATCAGTCATTCACCCATTCACACACACATTCACACACTGGTGGGGATGAGCTACAACATAGCCACAGCTGCTCTGGGGCGCACTGACAGAGGCGAGGCTGCCGAGCACTGGCGCCACCGGTCCCTCCGACCACCACCAGCACCCAAGGGCACAACGACAGACTGAGCGGGGCTCGAACCTGCAACCTTCCGATTACGGGGCGAGCACTTAACTCCTGTGCCACCGTCGCCCATGCACTTGTGTTTAGTGGATTTGGAGAAGGCGTTTGACCGCGCCCCTGTAGGTTTGGATTTAGTTCTCTCCCTAAAAAATAAAAACCGTCATTTCAAAACTGCATTTTGTGTTTACTTGTGTTATCTCTGACTAACGGTTAAATGTGTTTGATGATCAGAAACGTTTTGTGTTACAAACATGCAAAAGAATAAGAAATCAAGAAGGGGGCAAATACTTATTCACACCGCTGTAAATCTCACAACTTTGTGTGTTGTGAGATTTATTATTATTATATTTATTTATTATCCCTATCGGCTCCTAGTGGCCAGAACCCGGTGTGGTCCACCACAGAGAAGGCCGCTCTAGCACGATTTATCCTCCAGGCGGACGGCCGCGCTCACGCAGACGAGTGTTGGTGAGCGGCTGCGTCTGACTGCTGGTGCTCCGTGTTTTAATTCTGCAGCGGGCCTTGAAAACTCGCCTCACACCGCCTGAGTTTGTTCTCTAAAACTTGCATTGAAGCCACCGTGCTGACGCATTTTAACGAGCTTCCTTTGCGCCGTACGTTGTGATGCAAACGTCACATCGTGGAGTAAAAGTTCGGCAGATACGTTTGTTTACATGTTTGTCGCTGAGCGCCTGCGCCGTGGGAGGGGGGACGCGATGCTGCTCTCGTGTTGGGAGCGACATCTGGTGTGGTCAGCTCTGAAAGGCTTTGATCAGAATGTGCAGATCGCGTTTATTTTTTTTTTTTTCATGGAGCTCGGCCGTGGATTCTTCTTCCGGTCTGCAGCCTGGGACTCGAAACTAGGAATAAAAAAAACGAACCTCTGAATGATTCCGGGGAAAACTGAGAGTTAGTCCTGGTTCCAGTCGATGCTCGGTGCCCAGCCCTACTCCCTGTTCGACCTGCTGGCAGTCAGCTGGGCTTGTTCCCGTTGAGAGTTGGACTCCGCCAAGGCTGCTCTTTGTCACTGATTCTGTTCACAACTTTTAAGGACAGGATTTCTCGGTGCAACCAAGGTGTTGATCTGTTTTGGTGGCCTGAGGATCAGGTCCTGTTGGCTTCATCAGACCCGGATATGTGGGATTAACAGGACCTCATATGGGCCATTCCTATCTGTACCGGGTCGGCCCGGGCCGGGTAGCCCCAGTCGGCCCAGGCCTGGCCCGGTTGATTCCACACATCCTTGTCTTAAGCCCATGTGGGCTGATTCTACCCACCAATCAGAGGCTTGCTCTAATGGAAGGTGTGAATTTGCTGTCAGCAGTGGGTGTGTTGGCCCTGGTCGGCCTGAAGCAGACCCCCTCGAGAAGAGGGCTGAGAATGAGCCTTGGTTGGCCCGGAAAAATACCAGGCCACTCAGATATGTAAACAACCTACGCTACCCGGCCCGGGCCGACCCGGTACAGATGGGAATGGCCCAATAATTCCACAGTGGAGGGACTATTTTTCTGAACTGGTCAGGGAACGCCTTGGGATCTCCCCGGAGGAGCTGGCCCGAGTGGCTGGGGAGAGGGAAGTCGGGGCTTCTCTGCTTAGGCTGCTGCCCCCGCACCCCGACCCTGGATAAACAGATGAAAATGGATCAATTCTAATGAAGAGATGGATAAACACACAAGTGGTGCTGAGATTTTTAACCTTTAATGAAAGTTCAAACCAATCTGAGTTGTTTGGACACTTTATTCGACCTTTTCTTGTTGTCGTCAGCAGGAGTGACTCAATAAAGCAAAGTGACATCATCACATCGACGTTTTAAAACTCGGCCGTTTAACTGTTGCCTCCTTTTTTGTGTTTTCCCCATCTGCAGCTTCAGCGACGTTTAAAACTGAAATAAACCAGTTAAAGGCCGAGCTGTTGTAGGAGGAAGGCCTGTTCTGCTCTCAAAGCTGAAAGTGTGTTGTGTGTTTTTCTGCAGCTGATGGATGAAAGCAGCCAAATGAGTGAGCTGCCAGTCAAAGTGATTCAGACGGAGACGGGGAAAGTTCTGCAGGGGACGGATGCACCCAAATCCAGCCAGCTGGAGGCTTGGCTGGAGATGAATCCAGGGTGAGGAGACAGAACTGATGCTGTTTGTGTCTTGGATGTGTCGGTCAGCGAGTCTCCGGTTGTCCTGCTGGTCCAACTTCATTTAGGTTCAGCGGTTCGTGATCCACATCCTAACAGCCGGTTCTGCTGGACAACAAATCTAAAAGGCTAGGTTATCCAGAGTTATCTCTGTAGTTTATGTTTATTTATGTGGGTTTTATCCAAAGCGACTCACAATGTATAACCTATAGGGCATGTTGTGATCTGTGGGGGAAACCGGAGTACCCGTAGGAAACCCACGCATGCATGGGGAGAACATACAACTCCACGCAGAAAGACCACAGCCGGGTTCGAACCTGCACCCTTCTTGCTGCGAGGCAACAGTGCTAAGCACTGCGCCATCATGCAGCTCTAGTTATGCTGCTATAGGCTTAGACTGCTGGAGGACACACTGACCACTTTCCACACTCGACTACTTTCTACTACAATCTGCTCTTTAACTGTATTATTTTCTGCTATTTCAGCTGTTAACTTTTATTTTGTCTCTAAGTGTTTTTCTCCCCAGAAGAAGCTACAATGATGCTCTGCTGAGCTGTGGTGGCTTAACCACTTAAACATTCTCCCTCTCCTGATAATAACATTTTACTCTCTTTGACGTTGGAAGTGCTACTACTAGTTTACCCGTTTAATTATAGATCCACTATAATAAATACAATAAAGTTTATCTCTCACCAAATAGATTATTTACTAACAAATCACAATGTAACCATATAAATGTTTGGTATATATGGTGTGTGTGTGTGTGTGTGCGCACGTGCATGCACGCACGCTCTGTCTTCTCCATCCCCAGTGAGTCGTGGAGGATGGCTGCTTATACTGATCCAGGAGTCTCTGGAGGTTTCTTCCTGTTAAAAGGAGTTTTCCTCTCCACTGTCGCTGCATGCTTGCTTAGTATGAGGATTGCTGTAAAGACTCTGACACTAGTCAGTGACTCGATGCAACCTGCTGGGTTCCTTATATAGGAAACTTGTTACCGATTGGCTTAATGACCTGACCTGTGATGGATTTTTTACTATGTGAAGGTCCTCGAGACGACTCTTGTTGTGATTTGGCGCTTTAGAAATAAACTGAACTGAATAGAAGTTTTACTCCCAATAACATTCCCGAAATGCCGTTAAGCAGCCGATCTGGTACAGAGCTGGAATCTGTCCAAATGATGGTGATTACAGACGCAGAGGGGCGTCCCAGAAACAAAGACATCTCATGAGTTGGTCACCTGGCATGTTTTATTCTGGAAACCAGGAAGTTTTACCAGACTAAGTGGTGCAAATAATTATCTGTATTATGATCTTAAATAGTTTTGTAGTTCTGTGAGGTTTGGATTGTGGATAACTGGACCTTTATTTATTTTTTCAATAGTTATGAAGTCGCCCCGCGATCCGACAGCGAGGAGAGTGGCTCGGAGTTTGAGGAGGAGGTTGGTGACTTTCTAGTAACCTCTGCTCTTCTCACGTTACATCAGCTGTGTGTGAGAACATGATGCTCCACCAGGGGGCGCAGCCCGCCCGTGTGCTTGGGTTTTACCATGCTCTTTGATATTTGTTATCCTCTAACCTTTAAGGAAGAAGATGAGATGGCCAAGGCAGAAACGGAAGAGAAGAAGAAACGTGGTCCCAACGGAGAAGAAGGGAACGTGAAGGAGGCCAAAAATATCATCGAGTAATTAAGTTTCCTTTTATTATCAGACTATCTTACATCTGTTTAGAGAAACGTTTTCATTAAAAATTTATTTTGGGGCTAAAATTATTCTAATTAAAATTTAAACTCTCAAACTTCCAGGACAGCCAAACAAGATGTGGATGATGAGTACAGCGTTCCCACCGGGCAGACCAGCTCCCAGTCCTACTACGGTGTGGCCCATGCTGTCATCGAGAGGGTGGAGAGGCAGTCCTCGCTCCTGATCAACGGCACCCTCAAACAGTATCAGGTACACGCGCGCACACGTATACAGACACACACACACACACACACACACACACACACACACACACACACACACACACACACACCTACACCTATGCTAAAGCTGTTGTCATGTTCGTGGTTCTGCTACAGTCAAGAATGGGGTTTCTATAGCAACAGGTCATCTTTACTCATTCTGCAAAGCAAACCTGGGTCAAAATGACAATCCTTCCATCTTAGATTACGGTGACATCATTTATAGAACTGCATCCAAAAACCTTCTTCATAAACTGGACGTCGTTTATCACTCAGCAACCCGTTTGGTCACTGGTGCCCCTTTCACTACTCGTCATTGTGATCTGTACCCACTCGTTAACTGGCCATCACTCCATTCCCGCAGGATATTACATCGGTATCAGTTCTTTTTTTCATTTTTTATTTTATTTTTTTAATATTTTCTTTTTATTGAAAGTTTTGTTAAGGTACAAAAGATACAACAACAATAACAATTAGGCACAGTGGAACCGTCGGGTCCGCCCTGTTCCGGGAGAGCCATCCTCCCTTCTCTTCAAAGTCCCATGACCTCTGGTTTTGTCCATACAGTAATCCCTCGCTACTTCGCGGTTCGTTCATCGCGGATTCGCTGCTTCGCGGATTTTTTCTTTGGAGCATTTTTCAGGGGGAATTCGCAGATTCGCGGTATTTTTCACTGATTCGCGGTATTTTTCTATGCGAAATATCAAGAAATTCTTGTTTTTTTCATCAATTTCATCATAAAATGCACTTTTTGTAATAAAACTAAAAAAACCAAGTAAAAAAATTTTTTTTCTTGAGTTTTACCCACAAAAAGAGAATGTGATCATATGATAATTCAATATAGTACCGAATGTCAGACAGGTCAGCTGGATTCGGGAGTTGAGCTTGTAGGGAGCGAGGTTTCACAGACGCGGAAGTGATAGCGTCGGTGAAACGCCGGCTGATCTAGGAAACCCCCGAGCGTTCGAGCGTCAACGAAGTGACACGGAAATGCCGGGCTTTCCAGAAGTAAGTAAGAGAACTTACTATGAGCTGATAGTTCGTTGGATTGATCGGTAGGTTGGAAACTCTGATCATGAATCTGAAGAAACGATGACTGAGTGGTGAGCTGGAAAGGCGACTTCCGTTTATAGCCGCGGTTTGTGACGTAGGTGCGACGTGGAGGGAATCCCCGCGAGGGGCATGCTGGGAGTCCCTACTTTGCGGATTTTCACCTATCGCGGCCAGGTCTGGAACGCATCTACCGCGATAAACGAGGGATTACTGTATATCGGGGTCCATGTAGCCCTTAATGTTCCACCTCTGATGATGTTCTTAACGGGTGTTTCCAGTTCATTATGAAGTGTTCGTATCCACAACAGGCTCTTCCACTTCCAGTAAACATATGTGAGGAGGTTAAACCTTAGTTATACAACCTGCCCTCCATCATCGCGTGGTATTGCTGTTAGTAAATCTCTCCCATTTGTCCCAATTCTTATGAAAACGGTCTAATTCAAGGTTCAAAAAGGCTGTCAGTTTTTCCATCTTATATATTTCCTCGACTATTCCCTGCCAGTCTTTCCTTGTTGGGGCATTCTTCTCTAGCCATTTCCTGGTAAGCGCTTTTTTGCCTGCAGCCAGCGTGATATTCATTAAATATTTGTCTCTTGTGGGGACTACTGATGGGATATCACCCAAATAAACCGTACAGAAATCCTTAACTACCTCGCAACCCGTCACGACTGTGATTGTGTCGACCATCTCCCTCCAATATGGCTGAATTACCGGGCTTTTCCAAAAAATATGGAAGTGGTCTGCCATGTTTTCCCCACATTGTCTCCAGCAATGTCCTTCTCTCTGTTGGCCTCTCTGTTTGCATTTTATTTTAGGGGTTATGAAGAACCTGGTAAAAATTTTCCAAGTGAATTCCCTCCAGTAACCCGAACTGGTAGTTTTCCTCTGTGTTTCACATATAGTTGCCCAACTTTCATCCGATATGGTGACTTGTGCTTCCCTTTCCCATTTAATTTTTATATAATTAGTTGATTGGTCTTTGAGTGATTGTAGGTTCTGATAAAGTTTAGTAATTTGTTTGTTTTTAATCTTACTTTGATGAGCCTCTTTTATAAGGGGGACTAGGCCGTCCCTCTGTTCTTCCGTGTTTTTTATGTTACTGCTGAAATAAGACCTGACCTGGAGATATCTAAAAAAATCCAGGTTTTCCAGACCATATGTGTCCCTTAATTTGTCAAAACTATTCGGCCATTCCCATCTGTACCGGGTCGGCCCGGGCCGGGTAGAGTAGGTTGTTTACATATCTGGGTGGCCTGGTATTTTTCCGGGCCAACCAAGGCTCATTCTCAGCCCTCTTCTCGAGGGGGTCTGCTTCAGGCCGACCAGGGCCAACACACCCACTGCTGACAGCAAATTCACACCTTCCATTAGAGCAAGCCTCTGATTGGTGGGTAGAATCAGCCCACATGGGCTTAAGACAAGGATGTGTGGAATCAACCGGGCCAGGCTGGGGCCGACCCGGTACAGATGGGAATGGCCCATAAGTAGTCCATCCCTCCCTGCTATTGAGCAAATGGTCCGTTCCCTTTTGTCTACCATGCCTCATAGCGGCCATCTATTTGTGCCGGGGAGAATTCCCTATCGCTTGTGACCCATCTAAGTTGTTTTATGTTGGCGTCTGATTCATGTTTCTCACATGCGTCAAACCATATCTTTAAAGGTGTTTTCCATTCATTTAACTCTTTTTTCTTTTCCAGATATAATTTTTTATCCCCTAATATTGTCTGTAGTTGTAATTTTAATTGTGTCATATCTAAATCTTTCCATTTTGCCACATACAATGGGTCACACCAATAGAGTAAATATCTTAATTGTGCTGCTTTAAAATAACTTTCTAAGGCCTAGTCCACACGTAGCCGGGGTTTTTAAAAACGAATATCCGCCCCTCCAAAAACTCGCATCCACACGTACCCGGATAAATACGTTGTTAAGGACATGCCAGACCAGTAGGCAGCAGTACTTCCCCCGTTCTTAACCTCGTACTTCGTCTGTGGTCTTCCGCAAGGAGCAGTAAAGGAGGGCTTAAGCTTGGTTTATGCTTGATGCATTTACTTTCCGCTTGGTGATGCGGCTCGCGGATGGAACGCGCTTCACAACTCGCAGCGTTTATGGTTCGTGCGGCTCGTCTCTGCGGTGAGCCAATATTCTCCCAAACTGTAGGGGGCAGCATGGAGCTCTACGGCATGCACCCAACACTACACCATAGTAGAAGTAAAAATTACTGTTTACAACGTGGCATTCCAGCATTTTTTAACAGCGTCCTCGTCTTTTCCGACAGTGCGAGCTATTTCTCTCCAAGAATTATTAACAACATGTTGATCACGGTGATCTCTGAGAGCTGAATCATACAAATGTCTGTATTTACCAACCTCTGCCATACTAGTTCTTGCCGGTTCGCCATGTTTTTCCGCGTCCGACTGTCCGCGTGGTTAGAAATTTTCCGAGGTGCGCGTTGCGGAAATTCTGGGCCGTGCGAAGGCGCGGTGGAGGGGCGTGGTTGTTAAAATGATGCAAAATGACGCAACTTTTCCGCGCTGAGACGTGCGGACCTCGCGGACGCGTCAAGCATAAACCAACCTTAATTCCGCTTGCAAAAACAAACAAGCTGAAAGCGCTTGGACAATTGATGGATCGGGTAGTGACAGAGCGCAGCTCGGAGGGCGTCCATGCTGTCGGCTAGTGTAAACACAGGTCGCACACGTGATGTCAGCATTTTTTTGTCGCGGAAAGTGACGTTGCGGACCTTAAAACTCCGGTTTTGTCTGTCCACACGCAGACACCCAAAACGGAAAAAACGCAGATCTTCACTTTGGCCGGAGTTTTTAAAAAGATCCGTTTTCGTGTGAAAAAACTCCGTTTTCGTGTGGATGACAGGCCAAAACGTAGAAAAATATCTACGTTTTGGCAGATCCCCGGCTACGAGTGGACAGGGCCTTTGTTTGGGAGGGAAAGTCCACCCTTCTCCCTAGGCAGTTGTAGTGTTGTGTATTTAACTCTAGGTTTGCGGCCCTTCCATATAAATCCCGAGAGCATTCTGTTCCATAGTGCAAATTGGTTGGCTTGTATGTGTACCGGTATAGATTGAAAGAGGAAAAGTAGTCGAGGCAATATATTCATTTTGATCATGTCGATTCTATTATATAAATCAAGTGGCAGTATGTTCCATCTTTGGATGTTTTCTTTTAGCTCCTTGGTGAGTAATTTATTTCATAGATGTCTGTCAGTATTTTGGGGATCTTAATACAGAGATATGTAATTATTTCATTGTTCCAATTAAATTTGGATATGTTTTTGATCCTTGCCGTAGGTGTGTAATTATGTGTTATCACTTGAGTTTTTTGGATGTTTATTTTATATCCAGAGAGTTCTCCGAACATTTCCATCTTTGTCAATAGCTGAAACAACGTCAATCCAAAGAACGGTTCGGAGTGAAAACGGCTATTTTGTTGCTAATTAGCAGGAAATATCTAGAAGAAAGTTCTACAGAAAGTAGCTAAGGGTCCTCAGAAATGTAGCTAGCTTTGTCACTAGGCGTTAGGAACAGCGACAAAGTGGCACTGCCTCTCTCTCTGCTGCTAAAGCTACGGATAGCAAATGCTACGGGCGATGCCTGAGCGTGAACGCGCATGAAGCAGCCTGCTCGACCCGAGCATCTCTCTTTTTCTGTGATTTTACAGAAAAACAGGCAATCACAGTAAAAATGCCAGGGCTCATTCTACAGGACCAGGGCATTGCAGGAGAATGTATGAAGAAGACATTTATTATTTCTATACATGTTTTGGCTGTCAAACTTCCATAATGTCCCTTTAAATCCAGTTTCCAAAGGTCTTAAATTACCAAAGACCCAATTAACAAGATTATTTTATGTCTATAAAAACGTTGTGAATTTCTATTTCGTGTTCATTATTTTTTGTGTACGATGTTGGCGAAGGCGGAACCGTACACAGTCAGCTGGTTGTGAAAGGGGGCTATTTTTAGATGAGCACATTAGCTGGTTAAGCTAGCGGGAGCTTGCGCCATGGGGAAGTGCAAGTTTAATGGTCACTGGATGGCTAATCCCACAATCGCGACGTGGTTAGCACCGGTTCTAGGCAATAGTTGGAAATTATAGCTTAGATTTAATTTTACAAATAGCTTAAACTTGGTCAAAGTGGCCTTAAAAAAGGTCTTAAAGTCTTAAATTTGGCTCCCTTAAACCTGCAGATACCCTGGGTATGTACTGAGGGAAACAACAAACATGAGCCGTTCATTTATGCTAAGCTAACGGGCTCCATTAACACCTGGGCTCATTTAGACACTGAGCTTTGTAAAGGCCGGTGAAACGAACCTACAGAATATGTTTTCCTGTAAATGTCGGACAGGAAATGAGCCGATCGATCTGGTTCTCTGCAGATCGCGCTGAAGCCTCCTCCCTCCATGCCTGGTGTCTTTTTGAGTGTCTCTTTGATTTATGGTGTTTGTGGTTTAAATGAGATTTGCTGCTACGCCTTCAGATTTCAGCTGAACAATAATCGGATCACTTGTCTTCACTTCCTGCATCCGTCTGCTTAACAGACCTAAATTGTCACGGCGGAACGACAGAAGCTGTACATGTATGTGTGTTCAGAGCTAGCTTAGCAACCAGCTCTTCCACAGAAGAGTCGTGCTGTTTCTAACTGGCCTCCCGTTATTTCCTGTTTCATCCGTCTCCTGCTTGTTGTTTACAGTCGGCCAAATGCAGAATGTTGCTTTTCTCTCCTGCGTCGTGCAGTTGAGATCTAAAACAGCAGGAAGATCAAAGAAAGCAGGAGAAGCTGACTGAGAACCTGAGTTCTTCAGATGCATCCAAGTGTTTTTGCTTTTAGGGTGGAGAGGATGGAGCAGCGAGCAGATCTGACCTACTTCCTGGCAGGCGTTCTGTTCTAGACTTTAGTTGCAGAAAGCAACAGAATCGGCAAGAAAAGGCACAATGTGGCACCTAACATCCAGCTTTTTTTGTTCAGGCTGCTGGAAAACCTCGTTTTGGTTCACGTCTCTTATTGTGAACTGGAATTCTGCTTCATGTGGTTCTGAGTGTTGCCTCTTCTATATTCTGGGTTTGAGAATGAAGTGAGAGCGATGTCCCGAAGCATCGTGTTTTCTAACAGCTCCTCTTGATTTCTCTGCTTCTTCAGATCCAGGGCTTGGAGTGGATGGTGTCGCTCTACAACAACAACCTGAACGGCATCCTGGCTGATGAGATGGGCCTTGGCAAAACCATCCAGACCATCGCTCTCATCACCTACCTGATGGAGCACAAGAGGCTGAACGGCCCCTACCTCATCATCGTTCCTCTCTCGTCAGTACCGAGTCTCACCTGGAACTGCTTTAGCTCATGACGTGGAGCAGGAGCAGCGCCCGAAATCAGACGGCTAATTATTTTGGATTAAAGCAATCCAACCATGATTAAATCCAGAATGGGAAAGTCGGGAATCTCTTCACTGAAATGGTCCAAATCCCAATGCCGTGTTCCAGCAGTGAGCAGGTGTTCACTCTGGACAAGTGATGAAGTAAAATACACCAGTCAGGATGCATGCGTGCTAAATAATGAATGACATGTTTAACTCCCCCAGGCTTTTCTGTGCCGAGTGGGATTAACAGGACCCCGTAACACACCTTAGAGGCTTATGCTATTGTTCATAGATCTATAAATGTTTATATTTACATTGTTCAGTAACTAAAACTTAACATGATTTACGCCGTAGGGTTGGGCATGGAGCATTGATTGGAACCGGTTCCAACTGTTCATTTTTCCTGGAATCGCTGAACGTTTTTAATTTCGATTCCTAGTTTCGATTCCTAGAATGCCGACTGGAAGAGGAATCCGCGGCCGATCTCCGTGAAAAATAAACGTGACCTGCAAATTGTGATCAACGCTTTTCGGAGCTGATCACACAGCTGTCTGTGTGCAGCACCGAGTCCCCCCCTCCCCCACCCGGATATAAACAAACGCGTCTGCCGAACTTTTACTCCGTGATGTAAACGTTAACTCCTGCAGCGTAGAGGAAACGTGTTAAATACGTCAACACGGTGGATTTAATAGAAGCTTTAAAGAGCAAGTCACTCCAAATCAACATTTTTTGCTGATAAACTATATAAATGAGTGTCTGATCGTGCTGCAGACAAATGTAGATAATAATTTGACACTTTAGTGCATCTTAGTTAAGATTTAAATATTCTGCCAAAAACTGTCAGTGATGCACCGTCGTCAGGTAAAAACTCCGCAGCGCATTTGAATTTAAATCTGCCGTCGCTATTGGCTAAGAGGTACCCTATGATGTTAGATGGTAGGTTACGATGTCACAGTGCGGTGTGTGTGTGTGTGTGTGTGTGTGCGCGTGCGTGGAGTAATACTCTGGTACCAGATTCTTACTCAACTCCCACTTTCAGTTTGAAAACTGCAACAAATGCTGTTGCCTAGCAGACCGAGAGGGCGGAGCCGCTAACAAATACACACACTCACGACATTGTAACATCATAATGTACCATCTAACTTCATAGGGTACCTCTTAGCCAATAGCGATGGCAGATTTAAATTCAAATGCAGTGCTGAGTTTTTACCTGACGACGGTGCTTCAATGACAGTTTTAGGCAGAATACTTAAATTTTAACTAAGATGCACTAAAGTGCCGAATTATTGACTACATTTGTCTACAGCACGATTAGCAAAATAATGTTGATTTGGAGTGACTTGCTCTTTTAATAGCTCCTTCCTTTCCTTCCTGTGTCTACGTGTTCTGGATGAGTTCTTCCCCGGGTAACAGAAGCCACATCCTTTAGAAGAGAACTGCTCTGAATTCAGTCCACAAACATGTAAACAACTCCTCCTGTGATGTGTTTGTGTCTTCTCTAGGACCATGTCTAACTGGGTCTATGAGCTGGATAAATGGGCTCCTTCTGTGGTCAAAATAGCTTACAAGGTAAAGCGAATCTTCTGTTTGTTTATTTCATCCTGATAGTTTTTCCCCCACACAGCTGTGTGTTTTCCTCCCGTTCCAGGGTACTCCGGGTTTGCGCCGTGGACTTGTGCCGCAGCTCCGCAGCGGGAAGTTTAACGTCCTACTGACCACCTACGAATACATCATCAAGGACAAGCACATCCTGGCCAAGGTGAAGGAGGGTCTGCTCGCACGCCTCATCAGTACTTTTATTATCGGTTTTCATTGTTTGAGCTTTGGTTTGGGCGAACTAACTGATTTTCTTCAGATTTAATCAAAGCAAATGAGCAAAGTTCTATATTACAATCAATACTTACTAGGGATGAGCCGGATACTCGTTTCAGACGCGTATCCGTTATGGATAAAGCATTTTTGACGAATACGAGCATGAAACAAGTAAAACTCGTAAATATCTGTAATGGTGCTGAAGGAAAATCCTCATTGGATAACTGACTGTCTTCACGCTCTGTGATTGGCCAGTCACATAGAGCGCCCGCCCCTCCCTACACACAAAAC